AAAATGTAAAATTGTATCCAATAAGGACCTAGCTTAGGGCTAGGGTCTCTAGAGCGCCGCGCTCCTAGGGTGGAAGAACTAAGGCAACACTTAAGGCAGAGGGGGATTGTAGGGGCGAGCTCTGACTCGATAAGTTGGGAATCGAAGGGCACCCCCCGAAGTCGAGTTGGGAGAGTTGGGGCTTCTGGAAGGCACCATGAAACATGAAAAAACACAAGCAAGGCTTGAGGCCGCGGCGGCATGCCTGAAGGTCTCATACTCCGTGCCCAGCACCTCCCCACTAGCATGTGATGCGACGTCCCGGGGCTTACCCACTGAAAGGGCTCGGAAAGGCTTACACCTTGTAAAACAGTCCTAGAACTCACGGCGCTACCGACCTCCAGGAAGCTCTGGATGGACTGCACCGCGAGTTCCATCTCAGAGAAGAGCCGCTGGAGTTCCTTGGTGCCTCAGCGCATGGCCGAAACTCGTGTACTACGTATCTCGAGAAATCTTTGCAAAATACCAGATACCTGAACATCTGCATCATGGAGTTCAATTCTCAAGCCATCATCGCACTCTTCCACCAATGCAGCCATCTTGCAGGCGAGCACGCCTACGGCCTACGGCATAACAGGACGACTGCAGAGCAGCAAGAAGCCAGGCGGTCGAGTAGAAGGTCAACCGCGCGATAGCTAAGAGGAGGCCCTAAACCCCAAACCCTAAACCCCAAACGCTTCACCCTAAACCCCTAAACGCCTAAACCCCTGAGCTTGTCGGCAAGGCTTCAGGATGCCAAGGTGCTGTTTGAGAGACTCTCCATCGCCTGCGTATGCTCCAAACTGTTGGAAGCAGCAATCTTCTATAGCCTACACTGCCAACACACATCCGCTCAAGAAGCACTGCAGGTGCCAGCCCGGACGATAACACACCATGTGTGCAAATAACACGCAACTATGACATAGTTTAGTCGTTCTGCCTTTTCGTCTCACACAACCGGCTCAATCAGAGAAAGGGAGGGGGAGAGAGAGAGGGAGGGAGAGAGAGACTGACAGAGAGAGAGAGAAGGAGAGACGGAGAGAGAGTCTTTCGCCCGTCCTCTTTGTCAACCTTCGGTAACGCTGCAGTGAGAGGCTCCAGCCTGAGGGTGAAGTCAAAGGGCGAGGACTCGAAAAACATGCTTCAAAAGAAGGAAGGACTTTAAGGCCATATTCGTGTCATGAGCTAGGTACGGGAATTCGGGCTTCAGCATAGGGAAATCATGCCATATTCTGCGTGAATGTCATGGCTCCCGGCACAGAGATCAAAACATCGACGGAGTCAAGGAAGGATTTGGCCGCGAAGTTCTGCGCGGCATACTGCATGCCTTCGAATCGGGGCTTCAAGTTGAAAAACAAATAATGATGCAGTGGCTAGATCTAGGCTCCACGGCACTCTGCCCTTGACTCAAGGCCTGCAAGTGCCAGGGACAACCTCTCGGACTCTGCATAGAGGAGCATCACCAGCCTAGACGGGATCACGCAACAGATGGATGCTATCCGCTGCAATCCTCGATCTTCAGTTTCAGATCTCAGCTCTGCTTGTCTCGAGGCAGACAAGGAGCTTGGAGTACTCCTCCTGGCACGATCGCACAAGTCAACACATCGCCGTGTAGTTGATCCCCATCTGAGGCTGCCACCAGGACTGTGAAGATGCTTCAGCGCACAAAACCCGTCGAAGGAGTCGCACCACCGGATGAAGCAGGGTTTGCATGATTGGAACCGTTGTAGCAAGACCCACAAAGATGCACTCATAGAGCTCTACATACACTCACAAATGGACCAAGACAATGATCTAAACCCTGCCTCACATGATACCAACAAGATCCCATGTTGAAGTATGCGTAGCCTTCCTGTCACCGGTGGTTCAAAGAAGCCCAATTCTTGACCGACTCCCCCCGAAAACTTCCGAATCGGCCCTTCAGCGCCAAATCTAGGGAACCCTAAACCCTAAACCCTAAACCCTAAACCCTGCCTGAGCCGTGGCATTGAGAGCGCCGGCAGCGGCGCCGGCAGCGTCCGTAAGCGACTTCTCAAGTCGTCGAGCCTGCCGGCTGACAGGGTAAGGGTTTAGGGTTTAGGGTTTAGGGTTTAGGGTTTATAAAGTAATTCATGTATCGGAGCCTACAGAATTTGCCAATACTATGTACCTGTTTTTTGGGGGGGTCCGTTCTAATACTACAATACTATAATATACTATAATATACCATAATATACTATCATATACTATAATATACTATGATATACTATAATAGACTATAATGTACTATAATATACTGTAATATACTATAAAATAGTATACCCAAAAAGTACCCTGCTAAAAGTCCGTGAAGATGACTCGCTCAAAGCTTCAAATTTATGCGATGCACAAGACATCCGCAGCTACACTCGCCTCCGACTTCTCTCCGCACACCTTGCTCTAATCATTATGGCCCCTATCTTAGGTCGGGTTTAGGGTTTAGGGTTGAGGGTTTCACCTTGTTCTAATTATTATGGCCCCTATATTAGGTAGGGTTTATATTTAGGGTTTGGGGGTTTTCGGTCCGAAACAGCTGCAACGGCTGCAGAACGCAATGCCAGCAGTGCGTGTATTTTTTTCAACCCGACACCAAAACCTGTAATCCTGAACCCTAAACTCTGCGGCCCGAATCGTGTACCCTTTGTGATCTAGGCTCCTTGGCACTGCTTGCACGGATGCCATGAAAGGCCGCTTCGCGCTGTGCGTCCAAGCTTTATGGCTCTGCGAAGAGGGCCCGGTGACTGTTCTGTGATTCACCGTCCGTTGATGTGTCTGCAGGGTCATTGCCCAAGCCACCGAGGCGTGCACCGAGCTGGAAGCTTGCGAATGTTAAGATGGGAACTGCTAGTTCACGCCCCACTTCAACACTCGCATGACACCCTCACTGATTTCAGTCGTATCGCTGCGTATGCTGTTCCGGCAGCTGCCTATGAGAAAGAGTCCGCCAAGGCTTCCATGGCGGACAATGTCGGACTGAGAGCGGAATGTCACGCATGATGCGAATGCCCTTTAAACCCGAAAGGCATTGAACGCTGATAGAGGCCAGGGTGTTTTTTGTTTTGTTGTTGCCCGTGTTTGCTCGCGCCCCATGGCACTGCTGGTCCTGAGAATGTTTTTGGCTGTCCACCCCGGGTGTCCAGAGTGCTTGGCTTTTTAAGTTGCGCCTCGTTGCGCTCCACAACCTTGATTCGGCGGGGCCGGAGCCAAAAACAACACCACCCCGGGGTGTGTGCTCTTGTTTGTTGCGTCCCGTTGGCCCGTTGGGCTCCGCAACCTTTCGGCGCGGCCAGAACGAACAACCGGGGGGTCGGCGCCCCGTCTCACTGCTCGCTCACTGCGGGAGACCCGGCGGGGCAAGAGCAAAAACAACACTACTTCCATATATTCCCTGCTGAACCCAATCCTGAAAAAATGCAAGCGGTTCTATTGGTTCTTCGTCGGCGGTAGTGCCCACACCAAGTAATTCTGCACATACAGTGTCAAAATGCAGCGGATATTCATGGGAGCACCGGGTACTGATGCTGGTTGCTACGGTCGAGGCAGTCGTGCCGTTGGCGATGCAGCAGTGGTTCTAGCTGTCGCAGTTGCAGTATGGCATAAGATGACAATCGTACCGAGTTGTAGCTCCCTGGGATGCTGCCTGGCTTGGTTCCTTGGGTTCCGCACTTCAGAACTCAATGAATCTGCCACAGAGTGCCTATAGTCTCCATTGTAGTTCCTTTTTTTGGTTTAACCAGTTATATAATAAGGATTCTATAAGGCATCCCCAAAAAGGAACTACTGTGGAGACTATAGGTGGTGCCCAAATACTCTCGGCCCAGGAGACGGCCTCAAACAGCGCATTCTCGGACTCGTTGAGAATTTGGTCCAGCCCGGCATAGATGGCCTCACGTCTCTAAGAAGTGCTCATCAAATGAAACCTGAAGGGCTGAAGCCGAACACCTGAAAGTCTTTCGCAAGATACGAACAGAAGCTGATTTCGTTAAAAGCTGGGTAGTCCTCTAAATTACGGTCCCTTTTTTTGAGGCCCCAATATAATACGGCACCCTTATTAAAAGGACCCCAAAAGGGTTCCCATGTTAGAAAACTACGCAGATCAATTTGGGGAGACCTCTTGTTGAATCGTCGGCGTGCCAGCTGCCTGGCAGCCTCTTCTTAAGGTTTAGGGTGTGTTTTGATCACCTGCCTACCTTAGGGTTTAGGGTTTGGGGTTTAGGGGTTCTGCCGATAGCTTCGCAAGCCTCCTGGCTCAACATCTCAAATCTGCTGCCCTCCAAATCATGAGATGCATCCTGATCCTTGGGCCGCAGATTGTATTTTTCTATTATACGATACTCTATTTTGTTATGCTATGATATTCTACATTACGTGGTATCATACTATATTATAGTATATTGTGCTCTATTATAGTATCGTTCTGATATTATATTGTGTCATCTTCTAACATATCGTATCATGTTATATTATGTTATATTGCATTACGCTATATGGGTACCCATATCATGTTACATTTTACTCTATTCTGTTATCATGCATTATGCTCTGTTTTAATTAATATATATATATATATGATGTTATATAATACCAAGTTGCATTAGGTTAAGAGATACAGACGCTGCGCCTCCTCGCCTTGGTGGGCTGTGCTGGTCACCAGGCCTCCGGGCAGGCACTTCTTAGATTTTTTGATATCACATCATATCATGTAGCATAACACATCATGTCATATAATATAAAACAAAATAATACAGTCAAGCAACCTGCACATCATATCACATCATATCATGTAACATAGCACAATATAGTTCTGTCAAGTCAAGCAATCTGGGTGGGTCCTGGCGCCCAGGGATTCGACGGACAAAGCAAGGAGCGCCCGAACAACAACACACACCGAAAACACCTGCCTCCCATCGCATTGCTGACCGTCGCCGTGACCATGAGCGCGTTCTCTGACCTGCAGGCAGCAGGCAGGTGAACAATGTCATGTAAACGTCGCGCTGGCAGATGACGGAGGTCCCATTGCGAGCCGACCTTGTGGCAAGCACTTCAATGCGCTGGGAGGTGTCCCAGCAGCCATACATCACGAAGGCATAAGCACCTGGGCAGAGGTCAGCAAGTCGAAGTGAGGTACAATGCCGCGATTCCGCGATTCATGCAGCAGCTTATTATGTCATTTGCCCAGTGGCCGAGCGTTAATAAGAAGAGGATCAGCATGAGCCACGGGAACTCGTCCTCATCGCCAGCTTCCCTTCGGCGGTATCCTGAGCTGGAACCCCTTTCTACGATGTACCAGTTGAACTCTCTGCACAGTTCCTCGACCGTCTTCCAGAACATGCCAGGAGCCAATGCGGGAGGATCTGCGCGTTGAAGAACAGGCTCATTAGCAGGCTTCGGACTCCTTCATGCCCTGATGTATGCATCTGCCGTTATGCCCTTGATGCCCCCGGAGGTTTGCCGCCGCAGATCTCTTAGCGAGGCGACCAAAGGCTGAAGCGCTTCGACGAGGTCACACCCGACCGCCCTAGAATGACTTCAATCCCCAGTTCGTGCGAAGTTGAAACACCGCCGTTGCTCGGAAGTACGGCGCAAGTCCACATTTCAATGCACGTCCTATCCACTGCCGCTACGCACACCGACAACTCTTTTACACGCTTCTTTCATATGTACCAGAAGCCGATTAAATGTGCATAGCTGCAGGCAGGTATCGATCAACTTCTGACGCGCTCCTCTCCCTCTCCTTGAATGTCCCGTACTTCATATGGAAGACCTGCACAGGAAGAGTACATAAATAGTCAATTTGCCACCTGTGTAGGAAATGGCCGACACCTTCATTAATCCCTTTCCGCTAATATAAAACGGTGGAGTGGGCCCACCCCCCTCCCCCTATAAAAACTCGGAAAGTGATTCTATCATGACGGAGTATTTTTACCTCTACTGCCACTTCTGAAGGATCTTGTTCCCGTGGTTCTTGCTCCCGCGCGGCTTTTGCTCCTGCTCCTGCTGCGCTCTTGCTCTCGCGCCTGTGCTTGCTCCTCTCCTTCTCTTGCTGTTGCTCCCTCCTACTTTTGCTCTTAATTACTCTTGCTCTCGCTTTTGCTCTTACTCCTACTCTTGCTCTTGCATTTGCTCTTGCTCTTACCTTTGCTCTTGCTTTTGCTCTTGCTCTTACTCCTGGTTTTGCTCCCGCTCCTGCTCTTACTCCTGCTCTTGCTTTTGCTGTTGCTCCTGCTTTTGCTCTTGCTTTTGCTCCTACTCGTGTTCCTGCTTTTGCTTTTACTCTTGCTCGTGCTGCTTGCCTTTGCTCTTGGTTTTGCTCTTGCTTTGGATCTTACTCCTGTTCTTGCTTTTGCTCTTGCTTCTGATCCTGCTCCTACTCCTGCTCTTGTTTTTTGTTTTTGCTCTTACTCCTGCTCTTGCTCTTGTTCTTACTGGTTCTCTTGCTCTTGCTCTTTCTCCTGCTCTTGCTCCTCCTCCTCCTGGTCTTGCTCCGGACGCCCTACACCAAGTTGGGATTTAAAGGGTCGGAATGATTTCGGGAGGATTAGCCCCAACGTGGTTTGATTGCGTTGTTAGGGGGTGTTAGAAAAATGGGGGAAGCCATTTTGCCATTGACACAAACACCTTAATTACGCCATTGATGAAGGCTGCACAAGTCTACTGTCGTATTGCATGGGCATCAAGCTCGACAGATCTGCACACTCTGTCTGCAGCAGAGGCGGGCCCACCGCGCCTGAATAAGAACGTGGAACGCCGAGCACAAAGTGCTGCACCCCAAGAACCGCTGGGGCTGCTAGAACGTGTGGCGCTGTGAGCCAATCCGGCCGTCAGCAACATGAAACCTTTCGCCGGATGTGACATTCCTTGACACCATCATGCCAGCTTACCATGACCGTGCTTCGTGACGCCAGCTGCAAGAAACGTAAGCTTTTTGCGACTTCACAGCCTGCTTTCCATGCTCTGTCCTGGAGTTCTGCCATGAGTGGGACAGCCCGTCGCCGCTGCTGTCCCGAAGCGCATGCATTGAGTGCAGTGCTGAAGGTAATTACATCTCCCTGCATGCCCCGGTGCAGCAGGGAAGACAACAAGCTTAGAGCTTGCTGCCAAAAGCCATGACTCGTGCATGCCGCCATTGCGGCATTGAAGGTGAGCACCGTGCTTTGCAAGCCAGCCGAGTTCAACTCCGACAGGAAGTACAGAGCTTGCTGCCACTGCTCACCCTTGGCGCAGGCGAAGAGAACCACATTGTAGGTGATCACCTCAGACAAGCCCCAACATGTGGAGGGACTTCAGTCTTCAATTTCCCCGAGGACACGAAACCATCGACTCTGTCTTGGAGTCTGGGGCTCTAGGGTTTTAGGGGTTACGGCTTTACTTAAAGGATCATGGGACTTAGTAACTAACTAGGGTTATGATTAAGGTAACTAGACTTATAATTACGTATAACCCCAATTATGGTACTTATCACCCTACTTACTAAGTCCCATGATCCTCCAAGTAGGGCTTTATCTTTTCAGCGCAGAGTGGCATTCGCCTCCAAGCCTGAACGGTAGAAGTCGCTGAGCAGGTGCAAGGCCCAGGTCCACTCGCCACCCTTCTCACAGGCACTCATCGCCTTCACAAAAAAGGGGGGGGAGAGTTTAAAGTTTGAGGTTTAGGGTTCATAACGGCAGCACTGGCCGCTAGCTTCCAGTGCTTCCTTAGAACTGCTCTTCACCTTGGCTTTTTGCCCTTCTGAAAGCCACAGCCGAGGGGCAGAGCTGTAGGTGATCACGTTGCCCTGGATGCTTCTGTGTGGGATCTCAGCCAGCAATGCAAGAGCCATCTGCCACTCGTGGCCTTTTTCACAGGCCTCAGCACAGACCACACGGTTGCAACTCTGAGCACCGCAACTCTGAACCCCAAAATCTGTAAAGTCACATATTCCAAAACCCTCAACCCAAAAAGCCCCACAGTGCCCCACACCTGGGAATCGCTCAAAAAAAGCGAGGGAAGTGCTTTTTGTTGCAAGCTGCATTGATGGCTGCGCTGTAGGTGATCACATCCGCCTCTAGCTCCTTCTCTGTCATCTTTCCGAGGAGATGAAGGGCCATGGGCCATTGATCTGCATCCTTGCACAAGCTTACGGCGGTGTTGTAGGTCACCACAGTACCCTGCAGCTTGTGAGCTTCCAGCTTCTCAAGCAAGCTCAGGGCCATCGCCCATTCACCGCCTTCCTCACAGGCTCTCATGGCCGCATTGTACGTGATTGCATCGGCCCGCAGGTTGCGTTCAGAGAGCTCAGTAAAGAGTGCCAGAGCGCGCTGCCACTCGCCCCCGGTACCAAGTGCACTCATGGTCGAATTGAAGGTGATGATGTTTGAGCTGATGCGCTCTTGGTACATGTTCGAGAAGAACTGCAGAGCTAAAGACCATTGCCCGCCTTTCTCACATGCCGCAATGGCCGAGGAGTAGGCGATGACGTCTCCTTGCATGCGAGCTTCCTCCAGCTTGGTGAAGAAATCCACGGCCAGGTGCCACTGGTCGCCCTTCTCACAGGCACTGATCACAGAAGTGAAGGTAATCAGGGTTGGTTGAAGCTGGCTGCCTTCAAGCTCGACGAGGACCTGAAGTGCCTGGGGCCACTGCAGCCCTTTCTCACAGGCACTGATGGCGGAGTTGTAAGTGATGACGTCCCCTTGAATTGTCTTGGCCTTCAGATCTGAGAACAGCAACAATGCAGCTGTCCACTCGGAGGCCTTCTCGCAAGCTGTCATGGCACTGCTGTGAGTGATGGCGTCCCCTTGCAATCCCTCCGCTTCCAAATTCACCAAGAGACGAACAGCATGCCCCCACTGCTGCACTCTCTTGCATGCAGAGATGGCGGCACCGAAACTAAAGATGTCGGGGTGCAGGCGCCATGCGGGCAAATTTCCCAACACAGCCAGGGCAAGGGCCCAGTGCTGTGCTTTGCCACAGGCGTTGATCAACGAATTCACCGACTTTAAAGGCCCTGGTGCCTCGGCTCCAAAACCCAACGCAACCAAGGGCCTACCTACAGTCTCCATTGTGGTTCCTTCTTGGGGATACCTTGTAGAATCCTTATTATATAACTGGTTAAACCAAAGAAAGGAACTACAATGGAGACTATAGGTAAGTAAGGGCTTCTTACAAGTGAACCCCTAGGCCCTGAACCCTAAGGGGGTTGGGGTAGGGTTTAGGGTTTCGGGCTTAGGCACACACGCCCGCTTCGCTGGTCTCCAGCTATCCAGCACGACATGCTCTATTACAACGCAAAATCCACACAAATGCTGGAACAAAAGGTACAAGTATGTAGCTATACATGCAGGTTGCAACACATACACAATGTTACAGTGATCGCGTAAACAGATATTTGCGAAACATGGTACAGATTCTTGCACTCTGATACAAGGACTATGCTCCGAAGTTTTAGGTTACGTCTACCAAATCTTGTTTGCATTGCACAAACCCTATAAGCCCTAAGCCCAAAACCCCAAGCCCGAAAACATAATAACAAAGTGCCAGCTTAGATGCCCTAAACCCTACGCCCAAAACCCCAAGCACTGAAATAGAATAATAAAGTACCAGCTTAGGTATGACAGGCAGCAGAGGCATCCCCTAAGAGGCGATATGCATCCTGCCAGGTCTGGCGCGCCTCGAAGGCTTCGGTGAGGCTTTAGGTTTAGGGATTTTTTGGGTTTAGGGTTTAGGGGGCTTTCGGGTTAAGTTTAGTTGGCATCACTTTACGAGGAGGCGGGTATGAGCATGTGAGGGATTGTAAGGGTATGGGGCCGACACTTCGACCCACTAGATTGCTCCATCCATGCCTGCACCCTCTTCCCCACAGACTCCCGACACAGTTGAGCCCTGGAGGCCTAGCCGGAATTCATGCGTACTCTATAAAGAAAAGGAGCCGGAATTGCTCCGCTGGCCGGCGTAAGGGAAACGAGACTTTCACGTACTTACTGCAGAAGAGTCTGTCATTGGCCGGGGATATGTATATACAAACAGACATGCAGGCAGGCATGCAGGCATGCATGCATACATCCATGCATCCATCCAGCCACATCGGTCCATCCAGCCATCCAGCCAGTCAGTCATTCAGATAGATAGACACACGCAGAAACATAATTGCAGGCGTGCAGACATAGATACATGTAAGCTGCATACATACAATCACGATTTATAGATCATTAGGGCTTTGGGGTGTATTAGCTGCATCTCGGGCGTCAGCTGTTGTCCCTTCTGCATATCCGCGTTGTTCTGGCATCCCGGCCTGCGTTCTGACACCATGCCGCTGGAAACCCGAAGCCCGACCACGGCCGTGCAAGTCCAGCAGTTGCATGGCTCGTAGCCGTGCGAAGAAAGACAATCGAAGTGGCTGAGCCAAGATTTTGCCAGAAGCGCAAGCAGCCTTAGGAATGACACAATCCTCACATGGGTGGGAGGAAGATCCGGAGACGAAAACACGACGGCTCTGCTCTCACTGTGAACAGCTTCATGCCAAGCAGTGACAGCCGGTAGTGAAAACACACACTCCTGAATCCTACTCGGCCCTAGTCACTACTCCGCCCGACATCTAAACTGGCCACAAGTTCCCTCGATTCAAGCCATAGTGCGTATATACACATATATATGTATGTATATTTATACTTATATATACACACATGTATCAGGTATGTATGTGTATATATATATAGACAAATACAGAGAAGGAAATCAGGTCGGCCCCCTGTTGGCTGTTTTACGTGTCACGGAATTCGCTTTGTCCTATGATCCTTGCACGCCAGCTCGTCTGAGAACAGCAGCATTGTTTTAAAACACGCGCATTGCTTTAAAACAGTCTCGTCCTCAGGCTGGATATAAGACCGTATAGGTGGAATGCAAGCCTGTGTATATTATATATATATATATATGGGTGTATGAGAGTCAGCGTGCTCTCTTTTGGTCTGGCGGTCGGAAGCCACGCTGCGCACTGTGCACTGCACGAGCCCCTGCAGTGCTCACCCGTCTTATGACTACTTTGATCTGGGATCCCTGAAAGGTCTGGGCACAAGGTGACATCCTAAGAACCAAAGACCCGAATTTAGTGATCGTGGCCCACAAGTCGCTAGACAAGTGCTACTCCCCAGCTGCAATGCCCATCACGCCGCCCTCTGCATCAAAGCAGAATCACTGGCATGAGGACCTGACCGCACGATGGTCAAGTTCTGACAGTGCCCTTGGGAAGCAGCCATGAATGCACATGCTTGTCGATACAAGCCACACGGTCACATGAATGAGAATTGCAGCGGATTTGGCAATGCAAGCCCAAAAGCTCACAACTGCAACAGCTCAGAAGCCAGAAGCACGCAGGTCACTGTCACAAAGGGTGTGCACCCAGACTGAAAGCTCTAGGAGCACGGATCTCTGCCCAGAAACTGCACTGTGGTAGCTTTGCCAAGTGTCTGTCGGGAAATCAAAACTCTCAGGCGTGCTCGACATTCGTCGAGCCCGTCAAATTACCAGGAGGGGGCCGACGCTTGTAGGACTAGCCCGGAACCTGGTCTGGTAGCTCGGGAGCCAACGCAGATACTAGGTCTGGGTCGCCGGATCGCGCGACGACCTGGCTCCAAACGACGGCACGCACAGCTAGAATGTCATGGAGAAGGGGTGGGGAACGAAGGAATGCTCGGAAATGGTGGCGAGCAACATCTTTCAGCTCGTCGGCCACCGTCACATCCGCGCAATCCGAAGTTGTGGCAATTCCTTGAGCTCACGAAACGACAGCAGTGGACTGTGGAACTAGCAGACCCGAGACAATGTGAAGTGCAACGCGTGCTCAACCAGGGAAGAGCATAACGGCTCAAGCCTGTAATCTCATACTTCACTGCACCATAGACTACATCAAAAGCTCCTGCAGCAGGACCGTTCGACACTGCGGCAACCATGTTGGAGATATCAGCAGCACAAAGGGCCTGAGCCGATTGGCGTGCAGATTCTCAGAACCAGGCCGCTGCTCGTGATTCCGTACTTGGAGGATCATGGGACTTCGTAACTAGGGTTTTAAGTACCCTAATTGGGGGTTATAAGTGATTATAAGCAGAGTTACCTTATAGTTATAACCCTAGTTACTAAGTCCGATGATCCTTTCAGTACTCGTTATACACCTATACTTCCAAAATATACCCGTGATCTACGCAAAATATACCCACAACACACCCACAATGCCTCGAGACCGAAACGAACCCAAACCCAAACCTTCCCCCCTAAACCCTAAACCCTTAAACCCTAATCCCTAAACTCCCCCCCAGCCTTCCGGCTTCCGCCTACGGAGCAGTCGGTGATGGCCAAGGCAGTGAACCGCGAGATCCACATGAAGGTCGATATGACATTCCTGGGATGTCCGATTCTTCGGGGCTTTGAACAGGGCTTTAGGGGCTTAGGGTAAGGCTTGGGGTTTAGGATTTGATTTGATACGGTTCAGGATTTAGGGTACAGAGGTGTAGCAAGATTGTTTGGATGTCCGGCTAGCTGTGCGCACGCTGTTCGCCCTGGCTCCTGCATCTCATCCTCGAAGACGACTCTGCAGTCAGTAGGAGCACATTGACGATTACGGCAGCAATGCTTGAACTTCATTGATTCGAGCCAGACTGACTGGCTTCCGAAGTCAACTTTAAGCTGTTCCCTGCTCTCTGTTCCCTACTGATTGACATGTGGCATAAGCATCTCTGCCCGATTCGGTTGAAGGAGGATGCTCAGGTGAATTTGAGCGCAAACGACATGGGAGTTTCCGAAAATAAGGGGTACCTTATTTGGGGGTCCTTATAATAAGGATCCTACTATTTAGGGTACTATATTAGGGTACCTTATTTTCGGAAACCCCCACATGAAACCGAACCAAACTCTCAGATCACTTCCCTGGAAGCCAAGTGTCATTATATCCATGGCACAGGCCCTAGGCTGTGGGCAGGATGCCGCCGCCACACGCACCTGGCAAAAACGGTCGTACTTGAAGGATCATGGGACTTAGTAACTAGGGTTATAAGTACCTTAATTGGGGCTATAAGTGATTATAACTATAGTTACCTTATTTATAACCCCAGTTACTAAAGGCCCCATGATCCTTGAAGTACACCCTTCACAAAGTCGGTGCATTGGACCTGCAGCAATGCCCGGACAATGAACACGAGCATGTTGGTCACGTCCATGACCTTGAGCCCAACAATCAGATTTCGCTGTAAGGACGTGTAAAGCGTAAACTTCTATACTTGGAGGATCATGGGACTTAGCAAGGGTTATAAGTACCTTAATTGGGGTTATAAGTAATTTTAAGTATAGTTATCTTAATTATAACCCTAGTTACTAAGTCCCATGATCCTTTAAGTAGATGAAGTTCGGCCCGGCTGCGCACTGAGTGATGTCAAATGCACGGTTGCGGCTCAGAGTTCGGTTGTGCCTGACAGCAACGATCAGCTCCTTAGCGCAGAAGCATCGCGACTGGATCTCACTGGGGCACCAGATGCACAAAAACGCCAAGTACACCTCAAGTTCATGCAGGACTCGGCAGTCGGGGCTGCTGCTGCTGGAATGAACTGCGCCCAGTCGTGAGTGACGCGCGGGCGATTGGTAATGAGGTCCAGGTTGCTGCGTAGGCCTCCAGTTCTTCTTTGAGCAGAAAGCCAGAAATTCGGTCGTGTCACAAAGTTCTGAGGTCTGAGTAGAATTCCCGACTACCCCAACACCTACAGTGCTCTGCCTCATCACATCATCAGTAGCCTGCAGCAGCAACACCACCACCACCACCACCACCACCAACACCAACAACAACAACAACAACAACGACAGCAAAAGCAAAAGCAGCAACAACGACAGAAGCAAAATAACAAAAACAGCAAGCGCAATCGGAATAAATATCGACATGACAATCTTCGCTTTTTCGCAGCAACCCTATCATCTTCGCCGTCACCATCACCACCATCATCATCATTGCGTTGTATCATGGCCTCCACCATGATCACAAGTGTATGCCTGTATGCAGCTTGGAACGGCAGTCTCTGAAAAGCCATGGACGGGGCAGCACGAAGCTTTTCTCTCGAAAGCACCATCTGATGTCAAGTTGTGGACTTGCCGCAACGCGCCAAGCATAGAGTTCCATAGAGGGCCGGCAATGCAGAATGAACCAAAGACGTGCCCGGTAGGAAGCCATGAAGGAGCTGCTGATGGCTTTCACAACAGATGCAGACGAGAAGCCGGGTTTGCAATCATCCTTTACCGCGGCGCCGGCCTCTTTAGAAAACTGTAGTAAGAAAAGAGAGATGGAAGCTTTCAAGGGTCGATGGGCCGAGGACTGCATGAAGCATCACTTGAGGTACTTCATGTCTTGCCAGGGAAGGTCTGATATCTGCTTGGGGTCGGTGTGCGCATCTAGATGTCAAGATGCTGACAAGTGTAGCTTGAAGACCTGATTGCTTGCTGCGCAGTGAGCAACTGATCCACTGGACCCGCAACTCATCGAACTCTTGGATGTTCCCTACTACCCGCCAATGTCTGCAGCAGCGTGGCAGAAGCGATCTCACCAAAGTTGGCCATCAGGGCAAGGAAGTCCCCAACACAAATGGCGTCCGAGTTCACCGCCTCTCGTGGTTTATTGGGGGTGTAGATTGGGAGCAGCACTCCTTGCCTCAATATTTATGAAACATAACCCGTCGGCTGCACGCGGCTGCGCTGCAAATTGGGACACTTTTGGTCTGGTTGGAGTTGATGCATGTCGGTGAAGCTTTCCTAAGTCCTAAGGGTCACTAGTCGTGCGGAAACTTAGCAGATAAGTGTCTACATGATGTCAGGATTGTGTCATTGTTCAAACCGGAAAGAATCCTACATTGTCCTGGCTGATATTCTAACAGGTCTTAGACTGCGATAGCCAAGTTGTATCGGTCAGCCAAGACCCAAGAGACTCCAATATCCCTTAATTAAGGAATATACCTTAAATCGTATAAGGGATCCTACTATAATTTAAGGTATAAACCTTAATTAAGGGATATTGGAGTCTCTGGGACATGGCTTCAGGTCCTGCCTGGGCACAAGCATTCCCCGCAAAGGAGAGGTAGGTGGCGACCCTGAGAGCTGAAGTTCTATGAAACATTGGAAGGGTTTAGGGTTTAGGGTTTAGGCTTTAGGCTTTAGGCTTTAGGCTTTAGGGGTTTAGGGGTTTAGGGGTTTAGGGGTTTAGGGTTTAGGGTTTAGGGTTTAGGGGGCGGTGCTGCTTGGATAAGAGTGCATTGCACGAATGATGGTCATCCTTCATAGCATTATCCACATGAGAATCTCCGGAATTGAGATCATGATGGTTGCACAAACTGGTGCAGGGCATCCTTCAGTGACGACGATGATGATCTGCCCATGTTAAGCCAGGTTGGGAATCAACACCTGTTTGACTTCTTGGACCTATGCACGACAACAGAAATGCTCAAAGATCCGATCGAGAATCCAAGTGAGGGATGTCACGAAGCCAGCCACACTGGCAGCGCAGCCACTGGGGGAGAAATCGTAACACCTGAGTGGAGTCTTGATGCTCTGGTAGTCGATGGCCTTCGTGCAGATCAGTCGAGGACGAGTGGGAGACCGGCCAGAGCGGCATTGTCTACAGGATGGCTCAGCTAAGCGAAGCGCCCTCAGCTAAGCGAATGTCGGTGAAGCTCCGTCCAGCTCAAGGAACTTAAGATTCTCCATGCTGACTTGAAACGAAGCGCTTGCCTTGTAAAGAAAGACGATGGCTTGACCCAGGTACGCTGTTGCCTGAATTGTGTCGATGACACATTCAGTCCTCACCCATCCCAACTCCTCCGGTCAGAGCGCGGTGAGCCGAGGGTCAGTTTGAGGTGCTAATTACTTGTTACGGCTTCACATTAGCACCTTCAAAAAAATGCAAATTACCCCAAGAGTCAGTCAATCATCAATCATCAAGAAACAACTCAAATTTCGAATCATCCGCTTGGCAGTGAGTTAATGCCCACCCCTCGTGCTTGTAGCATGCCGGCACTGGACTCTCGCCACCAGCCCGGCGCTGATGCCACGGATGCTCATCATCACCGTCATCATAAAACATCATCGCCCTCATCATGGCCACGATCGCCGTCATCATCGCCATCATCATCACCATTACCATCATCACGCGCATCATCCTCATCATCAACACCAACATCGATTCCGCCAACAACAACCGCATTGTAGTCACTGTAGTCGTCAAGACCACCATCACGGGTGCCGATCTATACGGATTGCCCTCCTTCCGAGTCCGCTCGGAAATCTCCACACCAAGCCCCGGCTGCGAGTGAGGGGGGCGAAATCCGGTCCTGTGGCCGGGATGAATAGAAGAGGTCGCCAAGGTTCCTCAGCCCTCGAGGAGGTCTCAAGCCTCGCAGCATGGGAGGGCGAAGTCCGCAGCGATATTTTCAAAATGCCGGAAACTAGACAGGTACTTGGAGCGGCGGATTTATGGCTCTGGGTGTGGGATTGAAGGCACTGGGATGCTTGCAGAAGTTCCACTCATGGACTGCAACCTGCCACTACAGTGAGACGACAGATATCAATAGTATGATCATGGGGTAGTTAGTAGCAAAGTTGACCGGGCAAAATGCACGTATTTTCGTGGGCCATGGAGGTGCCTTGCTGCAGCCTTGCTAATCTGTGTTTATTCAGACACGAAAACCCACCTCGCAGTAGGGCTATGCGGAATAGCAGCCGAAACCGCGGCCGCGATAACAAATAGCAACAATAATAACAATCATAATAATGGTAGAAGTAGTAATAGTAATAACCATCGTTCTCGTCGCCGTCACCATCCTCGCTGTAGTTCCCGAATAGTCTTGACAACCACAGAAAGCCCCCAAACCCATCAGCCGAGAGGCTCTGCGCTTCGCGAACAATTTGCTCCATGCCAGGAATCCTTGGATCGACGGTCGGTGCTTCTAGTTGCATTCTAATTCACGTTGTATGACAGCATACCAATTTATGCTAACTATAGTATCGTATTTTATGCTCAGCATGTGAGCGTTGATCAATATTCTGTTTCTGGAAATGGTTTCTTCGCG